GATTCCTTGATTAGTGGATGGTCGTTAGCAGAATGGATTTGATAGGACAACTACATCTCATTAAAAGTATAATGTTATTAAATAAAGTACTAGAACATTATTTTACAAAATCCCAACTCTAGTTACTTTTAAAAAAAAATGTGAAAAAGTATGCTAATCCATGAAATTGCAAATTATGCTTTATTGGTCGTTGGTGGAGCGTGTGTGGTTAACCGGCACATTAAAAGACACTAATAAAGAGTAGTAATGGGTATCTCATGATTGTCATTTTGATGGAGCGTGTGTGGTTTACCGGCACAACAATAGTTAATGATAAAGACAATGAGGTTACCAAGCACATTTGCATGGTTATTCACATCTTGTTTGTGATCCTCGGCATCCCAGTCACAAATAGAAGAACATAATCCGAGATTAAAACATGTCATTGAATAGTTTCAATGTATCTCAAAAGATCTAGGAGTTTCCAATACATTTAAAACTTAACCTTCTTTTTCGTTTTTCATGGTGGAAATTGGTAAATCGTCATTTACCTACCTTCAAATATTCTGCAAATTGGATTACGGCATCCCTCTTCCATTTTGTGGAATGTTGTATTGGATCCTAGCCTTAATATCTCTTTTGGGTGTTTTATTAAGGATTCAATCAACTAACTTGATTTCTCTCGTTGTGTAGATGTCTGAATCTAACCATGGTATTCCCAAATCCAAAGGAAAAGATATTCCTACTCAAAGTGAAAGCCTGTTCCACAATGAAGGTGAAAGATCAATCCCTGCCATGTGGACTAGCTTGATTTCACTTCCTCCACCTCCTCCTGTTGTTCTCCCAAACCCACAAGACTGAAGGATTTAAAAGTTCAATATCACTCAAGCCCTTTTGGCAAGTAAACATGAAGATGGGAAACCTGTGTGTGCACACGTCTTAGAGACGAAGTCACACATTGATAGGTTAAGCATGTTTGTGTTGGAATAGTGTCTAAGGCTGCAACTATATTAGGCAAGTATTTGACCCGATTGTGCATGATCCTTTTGGGTTGCCTTCACCATAGCAACTTGGTAGGATGATTTATTGTGAGATAATAGATGTTATTAATATATTATGAGAATAATATAAGGAATAATAATATAGTTATTTGATTAATATAAGTCATAGATTAATTAGTATTAATTTGGTGACTTAAGGAGATTAATTAAATAAGATGGTACAAACTGTCAATTGTTTGATAGTTAAACTTTAGACTGTAAATCCATATTGGATAGATAGTGGACGGATTCTAGAAGCTATGGATAGCTTCAAATCGTCTAAGGTTATCTAAGGAATGGATTTGGATTGCTTTAAGAGAAGATTATCCAATTAGGGTTTAAACTGTAACACTTAAGGAGTCTACAAGTATAAATAGACCCTATGGAAAAGGGAAATCGGTACTTCATCTAAAGTAGAGAACCCCTGGCCGAATTCCCTCCTCTCTCCTCTCTCTCAAATCATCCTGTTTGATAGTAGGTGTTTGTAAGCCATTAGAGGAATGACAATTGTGACTCTAAAGCTCCAAGAACAAGAAGATCAAACAAGTGTCTCAAGGTATGATTCTAACTTTGATTTTGTATTGTTCTTATACCTAATTAGCCATTAGGAGTCTTGGATTCAAAGCATGTTTAATTAGAGAAACCTAGATACGAGCATTAGGGTTTGTATGCGCACTTAGGAATGTTCTTATGTATAAAACCCATCAGTGGTATCAGAGCCTAGATTGGTTTCTATTAAATTGATGCTTGAATGTTTGAATCTCAACTGCAAAATTCAATTTTTGTGTTTCTAAGTCATGGACTCGGCGAGTCCCATAGTGGACTCGGCAAGTTGGCCTGACTCGGCGAGTCCAGTGTGGGTACTCGGCGAGTCCGAGCGTCAGGATTAGCCAAAAACGGGATTTTTTTCATATTTATCTTATGGAAACTTACCTTAATCACATTAGATCAACCCTAATCCGATTTGATGATATATATGACTATATTTTTGATCTAATTGAAGATATTTATCAATTAATAAAATATTTAATTTCCTTATATGACAATTATTAATCGAATATGGATAATTATGTGATTAATAGTTAATTTAAAATAATTTGTTATTTGATCCTTTATGTTTTAAATGTTTAAAACTTGTCCTCAAGTTTTGAAATTTATGTTTTGTGAAAGTTTAATTTAGACAATTTAAATTTCAAACCCTAGAATTTTACAAGTTTAAAATACAACCCTATACTAATATAATATTACAAGATTAATATCTATATATGTATAACTTAAATGCTAGTCTTACCGTTAGTAAGCCTTATTCACGAAGCCGGTCTATAAGGTGGGTATAAGGTTGCGGCCTATAAAATGGCGCTTAATGGGTGTACACTCCCACCCACCGCTCGCTTGATTGGTGAAGCCATCTTGTCCCAAACCCTAGCCTAGAGTGTAAAATGCCTAGATCTCTTTGGATTCACGTAAAGTTTGCCACTTTACGTAATAGAAGGGTTGTAGAAGTGTAGATCTATGTTTTGGATCGATTGCATGGCCTGAAAAGCTTCTGTATGGGTTAAGAACTAGTCGTACTTGGCGAGTCACAAAGGTGTACTCGACGAGTTGCTTGAAGATGGGCTGGAACTCGGCGAGTTGGAAGAACAACTCGGCGAGTAGGTTGAAGATAGCCTCGGACTCGGCGAGTCTGTTCTTGGACTCGGCGAGTCTGGTAGTGAGGTCCTAATATTCTTCTGGTTGAGTCATGAAGCGGCGAGTCAAGGGAGGACTCGGTGAGTTGAGTGCGAGGAGACTCAGAGTTACGAGACTCGGCAAATCTCGGGGTGACTTGGCAAGTTGAGTTGCGGATTGGGGAAATTCTGAGCATGGGGACTCAATGAGTCATTGGGTTGACTCGGCGAGTAGAGTCAGTCAGGAGGTTGACTTCGACTTTGACTTTGACCAAGGGTTGACTAGTTGACTTCCAGGGGTAATTTGGTAATTATTGGTATTTATTGAATTCAGTCTTTTGGGTATTAACAGTGGTGGAGTTCGAGTCGGAGGTTGCAGTAGCGTGATCTTATCCTTTTCAGTCAACAGTTGCGAGGTGAGTTATCCTCACTATATCAACAGGGTCTAAGGCGCCAAGGCCGACCCTTTATCGGATTGTAATCCGGGTATTGTTGTTATGTTGTTGTTTTACTATGTTTGCATCCTCGTAGTTAGGATGGTATTCGTTAGAGACTTGGTTAAGGTCGGTATCCTGGTATATAGGATGATGCTATGCTAATGACCGGTTAGGTCGGTATCCTTCTTAGAGTATGTTGTGTTACGTGATCTGCTAGATCGGTATGATTGAATATGAATTGTTATATGATTGTATGTTATGTGCACATGGTTGTTTGACTGGGGTTGGGTTGAGGCGGGACCTGCTTTGTGCTGTAGGCCAACATACCCAGGGCGGACCGGTTGTTCCGAAGGCCCATCGAGCGGTCCGGATAGGCTGTAGGCCCCACGAGGGCGGACCAGACGTGCCGAGGCTCCGAGAGTGGACCAGGCCGACTGAAGGCCCGATGCGGGCGGACCAGTCATACTGTAGACTCAGAGAATGGACCAGGTGGGTTGAAGGCCCGGTGCGGGCGGACCAACCACATTGCAGACTCGAGGGACATGACTGGACTCGGAGGGTGGACCAGGTGGACTGAAGGCCCTACACAGCGGACCAGTCATACAGTAGACCCGATATGCATGGCTGTTCTGTGATTCGATATGATATAGCATGTTATGTGTATGGTATATGTGGTTGGTATTTTGAGGGTATCTCACTAAGCTTTCGGACTTACAGTTGTGGTTTAATGTTTTTCATGTTCTTCAGGAGACCGTGGCAAGGCAAAGGCGTGATCGTTCCGCTCCTCATGTTTATGTTTTATGATATGGACCTAGGAATACTCTGATAAATAAATGTATTGAAAACCTTTTTGTAATAACTTAATGAATTGGGATGTTTTTGAAAAGTTTAAATTTTATTGAAATTTTTGATCGTTACAAGAGCTTATTACTTGTTTGTTGATTTATTTGTAAGATGTAACTGTAAATAACTACATAAGCATTAAAATAATTCTTAAATTTGATCGTTACAAGATGCTTATTACTTGTTTGTTGATATATATACGAAATGGAAGTAATTTAGTATGACTAAAAATTTACTTATAATTGTCATAATTTTGAACCACATAAAACATTTTTTATTTTGAAGTTTGGATTTCAGCTCCTCTAGTTATAATTTTGAACCACATAAAATATATATATATATATATATATATATATATATATATATATATATATATATATATATATATATATATATATATATATAGGGTTAGGTTCATTGAGACCACCTATATTTTGTGAGACCGTGAGACGCATTTTTTGATTTTTTTTGATTTTTTTTTATTTTTTTTAGTTAATTCATGTTCCGAAAATAATATTTAAAAAAAGAATTTTTTGATTTTTCCATTTATTTTGCATTTTAAAATTATTTTTAGAATATGTACAGTGTAATATTCTATTTAGAATATTTCACGTATTTTTAAAAAAAAAAATACATTTTTTTTAATTTTTTTTTATTTTTTTTTATTTTTTTTAGTTAATTCAAATTCTGAAAATAATATTTGAAAAAAGAATTTTTAGATTTTTCCATTTATTTTGCATTTTAAAATTATTTTTAGATTTGGTCTCACAGTCTCACAAAATTAGAATGGTTTCAAATGAACCTATATATATATATATATATATATATATATATATATATATATATATATATATATATATATAAATGAAATCAAGTGTTCGATCTATGAAAAAAATTACCCACAAATACACAAGTAATATATATAAGAATGATAATCTGAAGAATAACAAGAAAAAGAGAATCTAACTCAAAAGAGAGAAAAACAAAAACAAATGTGGACCGTATAATTAATTATATAGAACATGCATTCATCTTCACATCAAAGTAACTGCAAAAAATGCTCCGGCGAGTGCAGTCCCAGCGATAACAGCTCTGTTGACCCAGCCATCAACAAAGGTGCCGCTAGGTGGAAGATCAGCTGGTGGTCCGGTGGAGGGACCTGGCGATGGAGCACCGGAAGGTCCACCCGGTGATGGAGCTGTAGTAGGGGATACAGAAGAAGGTGCAGGAGAGGGTACAGCCATTGGAGATGGTGAAGGAGAAGGAGAAGGAGAAGGAGATGGAACCGGTGTAGGAGCGGGAGATGGTGTAGGGGCGGCGGTTGGAGAGACTGTAGGGGTTGCGGTGGGAGCTTGTGCTGTGCATGAGCTGATGAAGACAGCAATGAGCATCAAGCACTTGAACAATGTCGAAGAACCCATGTTTATGTTTTCTCACCTTCTTTTTAGAGAGATAGAGAGAGTTGATGATTTGTGTATGAAAGACTGTAGAGAAGTGGTATATATTTATATAAAACGAAATAGATGTAATATAATTTAATTATAATAGAAATGAGTGTGGGATTCGTGGAAGATGCTACAAATTATGACACAAATTATACGCAGTCAATTATTTGGATTAGACCAAGTCATGAGTGATTGTTGCATTAGTGAGTTAGCCAACTCATGAGTTCATGCTAAGTGTTTTTTTATATAAAATCAACGAAAATTTCAATTTTATAAGAATGAATAACTCATTTTTAAAAATGCCTAAAATAAGAATCAAAATTGTTTTTTTTAACTCTAGAATATGTTAGAGACTAATTATTACATGATATTAGGAGTTGCATTTTATTGACAATAATTCGAAAATTAAACGTCTTTAGACATAAAATAAATTGTATTTTATTATATATAATTAAATAATTAAATTATAATGTTTGCTTGTTTTTCAAACTTCATACGAAAAAGGTAATTGAACGCAACCAAATATGAGGCATGGAGAGGCCAAACCAGCTGTTGCCAGAAGGAGATTGCAAGCAAAGTGTCTTTCATTTTTATATCACGTATTGGTCTATATTACATATTTTAAATTAAATATCAAAACTCATGATTTATGATATATAGTAGAACGAGTAAACTCTCAAACTATAAAATAAATACATAATATTCCTAAGAAGTTGTTGATGTATCAGAGCTAATTCTAACAAAAATATAAATATAATATAGATAATTTATGGTCAATATCATTAAAAAATAAGATATTTGCTCTTTCAAAATTGAGAGTTAAAACAATTTGTAAAAATAGCAAATCTTGAAAAGCCATCCCATGGGTGGGTGGTATGTCTTTGTCTAATTACTTGGCATTTTGTAAATAAATAAATTTCTTGTATTTGTATCTTTTAAAAGTTTAAACCTTTCACCAACTCTATATATTCGTCCGTATACGGACTATTGGCTATTAATTTACTTTTACACGCTTATAAGAAACAATTAATATGTTTTTTTATTTTCTCTTTTTAAATAATACTTGAGCTCTTTATTAGTATTAAGCTCGGGAACTAGATGACTTCTTCTTCGAAGCTTGGCTTGCTTCATCAATTTCTTTATCGTTTCTTCAATACCTATAATATCTATACCAAAAGATCTTGGTATAAAACAAAATAGTATTACCGTGTCTCAACAACAACATCAAATTTTTAGTTCGGCAAATCAACAATATCAGATCAACATGATCAAGAAAAATTGATTTACATATTTTTACAAGAGGTATATATTAACTTTGATACAAAAATAAAAGACAATTAAAATAAACTAACTAAAAAGAAACTACACTTGTCGAGCATTAAAATAAAATAAAGCTATGGTTTAGAAGAAAATCAATTTTATGATAATTCTTGTTTCGTGTTTGATTTAATTATATATAGTTGATTTATGGATTGATGCGTATACAATTTTAACCTATTTGGTACTAAGTAATATTAAGAAGCTCTCATATCATTTTACTTGTCAAATTATCTAATTAAAATAAGCTTTTTAACTAGATATAAGTGTACTAATCATAATCTAAACAAGGTCTTAGATTTTGATTGAAAAGTTACACTAAGTTTCTTATAAGTTTTTCAAAAGCTTCCTAACAACACTCAATACTTTTCATAAGTCATGATAGCATAAAAGTAAGTGATTTTATGTGTATAGTGAATTAAATCTACTTTTCATAAGTGTGATAGCATAAAAGTAAGTGATTTTATGTGTATAGTGAATTAAATCTTAAGTTAAGAACCAATCCATACTTGTTATTTGTGTTCATTCATCACTTACACATCTTATAAATTTACTACTAATCAATTTAATTAATGTGACCATTCATGAAAAAGGAAACATAAATCGAAGTATTTTATTAAAATCAAAACATAAATCACTAGTTTACAAGTCTAAAACATTAATGAGAAACAGACGTATTAAGGTAATTAAATTTTTAGTTTGTTCACATATGAGTAACTATTTTTTTTTTTTTTTACACATCCAGGTAATGAACTTTTTGAAAATTTTCACATATGACCATTATGACCGGCTATACTAGGTTACATCCATTCATAATGTATGTAAACACTTCTAAAAAGTTCGTTACCTAGATGTGTGCAAAAAAAAGGTTACTCATATGTGAACAAACCGAAAAGTTAATTACCCTGATAAGTTGATTTCTTTTCTTTTTTTTATTTTACCTTCTAATTTGGATTTTGTATAAAATTTAACCTAAATGGTAAATATTTCTAAAACCACGCCATTTTGGTAAATATCTTTTTAAAATACACTACTTTGTTAAAAAAAATCTAGATTTGACATGGAAAAAAACGCATCGTCGTTTTATATAATTATATTATTTAAAATATTAAATATTAAAATTTAAATTTACTAGAGACTAAAGGTATCAGAAATAGAGACAAAAAATATAAAAAAACACATTGTTTGATGAGTTAAAGGTTAGAATGTTGTTAATAGAGTTTCAGGTTTTGATATGCATTTCAAGTTATGATTTTTAATTGATTTGGTTCTCCAATTTTTCTTTCTGGTATCAATTTTCTTTTCCTGCAAGGATTGTGACGCATTGGGTTGTGGTGGTAGGAAATTCGATGAAAAGACAGTGAGTTGTGGTGTTGGTTCGCCAAAGTTGAAGGACCGAAAAAAGAAGAGATGGTGAAGACGTCGATGTCACTAAAGATGGAAATGAAATAGAAGTTGAGAATGATAAGAGATGAGATGATGATTAGTGGGACCTAAGTTAAATTTCCCAAATGTGGTTTCAGGTTTAGGGTGAAGAGATATATAAATGTAGGGTTTATTAATTTTTTTTAATATATAAATATAAATACATAAATAAGAAAATTAGTTTAAAAAAAATAAATTAATAAGGGCACAATAGTCTTTTTAGATAAGACAGAGACCAAACACGCAACAAAAATAAACAATAAAGACCATCCAAATTAAAACAATAAGTTAGGGACCAACCACATAAATTACCCAAAACCACAGGGACCATTCGTGTAATTTACTCTTACCTTTTCAGCTTGTTCACATCTGGGTAACTATTTTTTTTCGTACTTATCTAGGTAACGAACTTTTTGGAAGTGTTCACATATGACCATTATAACCGGATATAACATGTTATAACCGATCATAATGGTCATATGTGAACACTTCCAAAAAAATTTGTTACATAGATGTGTACGAAAACAAAAGTTACCCAGATGTGAACAAACCGAAAAGTTAATTACCTTAATAAGTCTATTTCCCAACATTAACCCGATAAAATCAACCACACATAGTCGAAATAAGAACTAGAACCAGAAGACGGGGAGGGGGACCCGATCATGGCAAAAAAAGAATACTTCAAAATATGTATTTGATAGAGGTTTTACAAATCTAATGGCAAAAATACCAAATAACAACTCCAAAATGTGTTCTTCAGCATTCTGATGCTTCAAAAACCGTTCTTCAGCCTCTAAATGAGGAGAAAATAATTTGGGGTTTGTATTTTTAGTTTCAAAAAGCTTGGGAACTTAGGGGTGTTCCTAACCGGATATCCAAAAATTCGGACATTATAATGTATTAGGATGTACTAAATCGGATATCCCAAAAAATCAATTCATTTAATAGTTACAAGTTAAAAAATGTGGTAAATGGCATATTAGTCTTAATAACCGCAAGTCATGAGAAATGAATTTAGTTTGATTTTAATGTAATACAAGTTAAAGAAAAAATGGATTGAAGTCTTAGGAGTGTTAGGATATGAATTTTTTATGATAAGATATAAACCATATGCATATCAATGGCTTTATTCTAATTTAAATGATTGAAGGTTTAGGAGTTATCAAACCTCGAACAAACAAACCACATCATTCGTTCTTATTAAATTGGCTTGATTCATTTAACTGACTTGGTAGACATGATGCATGGTAACAAAATTGTTTTGATATATATAACTATCATAGCTTGTTTGTTTAAACCGAATTAGTTTACACGAGTGAGATTAAGAAGCACTTTGAATCGACAAATAAAGTTGTTTGGTAGTCTTTGGACTCAAGAGGCCAATGAAAAGGGATTCAAGTAAAGTAAAACTTTAGTCTCCCGCTTTAAATTTGAAAAAAAAATTGTATATCTTTTTGGATTTTAGTTATCTGAAATATCTAGAAATTTCTAAAATCATTATCCGAATTCAAATCTGAATTTTGGATATGAACTTTTGGATAATTTTGCATTGTATTTTTGGATCGGATCTTCATATTTAGATAATTTTTATAACCTCAGTAAAACCTGATTTGATCAAGTCACTTTAAAAGGTAAAGTGACCCAATCGAGTCATGTAACCTAGGACCAGAAACACGAAAAAAAAAAATCTTTTGTTGACTTTTGACTCGACTCGACCAAGTCAAATTTACACCAGAGGGTAACATTAGAAAATTGGTTTTAACCAATTTCTAAAAATAGGGTTTTCCTAATTTTGAGCATAAATTTCAAACCCAAAATAATATCAAAATTGACAAATTATTATATGTTTGCATTCTCCTCCATGATACATTCGTTTTGATATATCATACGTCCGAAACTGATTAAAGATGAATGGGAAATTTCATGTGACGTGCTACGGCATCTTCTAGAGTATGGTTGAGGCGAAGCGAGATAAATTGGTCCAGTTGATTGTCACAATCAAGTCGGATGGAGCGGCAATCTTGATCTCGTAAAGAGATTTGAGTATCAGGTCAGGTTTTGACTCCATACCTGTTACTTGTGAAGTGACATTGTCAACCATGGAGTTAGCTGTAGTAGTGTTGTCTTGGAGTTCCAACAAGGAAAACGACTCCACAATATTATAATTAGAGGATTTCATGTCCGAAGGGGAACTTTCAGACTTGTGAGCATCATCATCTTTGCTCTTTTCCTCATCACGTGGAGCTTCTTGAGTAGGAGAGTCTTGATGACCTTCTAATGTGTTTTATGGAGGAGGAACAACTTCATTTTTCTCAAGTTCAACATTTTCATCCAAAGCTTCAGAGGATGAAGAGAGTCCGAAATGAAATGAGCTTTGGAGGAGGAAGGCTTCTAAAAAATGTTGAACGAGGTGGGAATAAGAATGCCTCCGACAGTTGTGCTACCATCTTCAAAGAGGATTTTGTGACATCCCCAAATTCACAGACATTTAAAAAAAATATATTTATGCTTATTTGAAAATTATAGTATTCATTTTTAAAGAATAATATTGCGGAATTTGTTCCCAGTTTACATGATAAATATATTATCAAAGCATTTCCAAAGAAATGTATTTTGTTTATATTAAAACTTTGTGATGTCATTATCAATATAGAAACATAAGCATAAACATACCTTACATTCGTTTACACTAATGGTTTACATCTCCTTTAATCTCTTAGTGTAATATGTCTTCGCATCGATACCTGTGATACAAATAAAATGAGTGGGTCAGGTTGGGAAACTTGGTGACTACAATGGCTTCTCAGCATTGTAAGTCTTATGAAATCGAGGCTCACTCTTCTGCGTATAGGGGTGAAAATGTGGGGCTTGGATTCACTAAACTTGTGTGCGAGCATGTGTCCTGCGGGTACGATTGCACCATCGGTCGACCATAAAAGTTCAAGGACCTTTTACAATTATTTTCTTTCTCATAACTAAAATTGTATCGGTTATAAACCCGAATTAAAAGTCATTAATCATAGATTTTTGGTTTTGATTTTTTGATTAATTGTGCTCTTTAATTTTGACAGTTACGATTTGGTATTTAAGATTCTATTATGTTTTGTAGTATAAATAAAACACATCAATGACTGATTGAGATACACCCAGTGAATCGATCTCTTCTTTCTCTCTATCGTCTACTTTTGTTTATTCCTATTGCTACAAAAAGGTATTTTCCGGCCAAATAAGGGTTCAGGGATCTTGAAAACCACTTACCATTGTTGTATCATGCGAAACAAAAAAACCTATATCAAGCGAAATTGTGTTAATGACATTGTGTTAAACATAAACCTCACAAATAGTTTTACTATTTCTATTCATTCATACTTTTCCTGTTATATTTTCCTAATAGGTGACTTGGTCGAGTCACTTTTTTTTGTCCCGATGCATGATTTTTGTGGACTAGATCGAGTCAAACCCAAGACATAATTCGACTCAGCCGTATAATCTTCTAGAAAAAATGTCAAATCATAAAATTTTGTCTTTTTCATTTAGCGATGTTCTTCATGAAATTTGGACAACTCTTTATTATCCTCCAAAGCATATTCCAAACCTAGTACCACCCGATAACCATTAAAAACATACAAATCAACTAGTTCCATAAAATTACATAAAAATCCCTAAATAAATAAAACATATGAGATGCATCTAACAAGTATAAAAAATAGAGTCCCAAAATAAGAGTTATATGAAATTAACATATATTATTTTATTAGATTTATTTTGAATGGATATGAACTAAAGGTATATATAATATACTATATATAAAACGAATGACATTTCCCAGGGTGGCCATCTCAAGATTCTTTGAAATGTAAATCAAGAATGAAAAATACAAAAACAATAAATCATTTTTGGAAGTTAAGAAGAAGACATCCACTACATCCAATAGTCTTATATGAGTCGCCTAATTAAACGACACCACACCACCCACTCGTATCTCCTATTTTACTTCTGTTTATTCATCGAGCCATCCTCCGTTTCTTATCAAATTACCATATAGAAAGTTAATTTCTATTAAACGTTCGTTGAGATGATGACACCCGCATGACACACATTGTAAGCGCTGAAAATATGCAAATCGCAAAAGAATTTCAAACACCTAAAAAAAATCTTGTGTATAAGCTCACGTTCAACCATCTAAAGGATTTGACAAATTATGTTATGGTCGGCTTCTTGTTGAGCCAAAATTTTGTTGGTGTTTTATAGTAAGGTTAGATATACATCGGAAGAAAAACATTTATGATACGAAAAAACAACAAGATCAACAATGAAACATTACAGGTTAAAAATACATAACATCACTTTTAAAGCATGTTTGAATATAATATTAAGCTCTGAAAGAAATAATTTATTTAAACAGCTACAAAAAATCCAGAATAAATTTTTGGCATTTTAAATAAAATGTTACATCAAAATATACAAGGGACATCTGATCAATTATAAATAAATTGTAAGCAAAAGTATATTGTATTAATTTCAAAGACCAACATCATAATCTTCAAGATGTATATGACAAATACTCTATTTCTAAACTAAATCCATTCTACTTTATGTTACCTTGAGACATTTTAAAATACTAGTATTTTAGGATGGAAGACAAATGAGATACACATGGTTATATATATATATATATATATATATATATATATATATATATATATATATATATATATATATATATATATATATATATATATATATATATATATATATATATAATATTTAGGAACAGTGATTTAATCTTATTGGTCACTTTTAAATTTGTTTTTCCAACAATCTGCATTTTTCCCTGAACGTGGGTCGGTGGCATTACTGTTTATTGGCGATATGTGTCGTTTCCTTCAACCTGATTACTTTAGTCCGTTCTATGTGTTTCTCTTTGTTATTCTACGTTTCTTTGGTCCAATAGAATGCTTCCAGATATCTCCCACCGACTTCAGCTCGATCCTCCACCTCTTTACCTTACCGTCTCAGATAAGCAACTTCATTTCTTCACTTCACCCTTGATCTATACTGACGGTTTCCTCCCCTTCTACCACCTACCTCCAACACTATTTCAAGCCCTAAATCGGTTCCATCGCCTACTGCTTCGTCTTCCACCTTAAAGCAATCAAACACGGAGTCTCCGATGTGCTAAAAAGAGTCATCATAGTGACACTCGCAGTAGCTCAAACTTCGGTTTCTCACATCCACTTCTGATGACTTATCGCCACTGAATGTAACCAATTTGTTGTAACGACCTAAAAATACGATCCAAAAATTTTTGTTTTAATATTACTAAAAATCACATCATCCAATGTCATGTATAACAAGAACCACAGAAGTAGTACTCAAAAGTCATAATAACTGTGTCAAAACAAAACTGTATAAATCATAACAAAATGTCTTAATAAAACCCCCATGATAAAACTGAAGTTGTGGTGTGTGCGATGCAATCAACCCGAGCTCTTCCCTTTGCTAGCGGAAGTACCTGAAACCAAAACTGAAACTGTAAGCACGAAGCTTTGATCTCCCCAAACTACCACACACCATACAAATATACAAGCAACTAAGAGATACGGGCCCCACCCATTCTCATGGAGATTCGGGACCCACCCACGCTCCGCTGTCTAGGAGATTCGGGCCCCACCCACACTCCGTTATCTAGGAGATTCGGGCCCCGCCCACACTCCGATGTAGGAGGTTCGGTGTAACAGCCCGAAATCTCAAGTATTGTTAAAATTACATTTCGGGTGTTTTAAAGGGGGGACTCGGCGAGTTGGAGCCAGACTCGCCGAGTAGGATCGCAGACCTGGTCGCGGGTTCGCGACTGGACTCGACGAGTCTAGATAGGGACTTGGCGAGTCTGCGCTGTTTAGCGAAAACCCTAGCCGTTCAGGTTTGGGACGTATAAAAGGGGATCATTGGCCGTCATTGTTCTCTTTTAGCCTTCTGAGAGGAGCCCTAAACCGATTACGTGCATTTGGAGCAAGGTTAGAGGCCATGGGTGATTGTGAAGGAGTTGTTGTGCAAGGAAGAGAAGGTCTTGGCTAAAGGAACAGCAAGGGAGTCACATGCTGAAGATTGGGGACACAGAGAATATATCATCCAGGGAGCTTGTAGCTCGGCGGATCAAGTGCAAGTGATTTCAGGAGTTGCTAACTTCCAGTATCCACGAGGTGAGTCTTCTCACTATACTGTACCCGGAAGGGTTTGACTGTGTGACCGGAAGGTCGGATATGATATGTGTTATACGTGCCATAAATGGTAAGGTAATTGCTATGCGTGCTAGGTATGTTTATATGGGCCGGAAGGCAATATGTTATGTGATTGGAAGGTCGGATATGGAATATGATATATGTGCTATATGTGGTAAGTTAAAGGTATCATGTGCTGTGTATGTTTATGGGCCGGAAGGCAATATGTTATGGGCCGGAAGGCAATACGTTATGTGACCGAAAGGTCGGATATGTTATGTGCTATATGTGTTATATGTGTAAAGTTAATTGTTACGCGTGTTGTGTATGTTTATATGGGCCGGAAGGCAATATGTTATGGGCTGGAAGGCAATGTGCTATGGGCCGAAAGGCAACACGTTATGGGCCGGAAGGCGATTATCTCATGGGCCGGAAGGCATTGTGCTGTGGACCGGAAGGTCGGGGCCTGGAAAGGCGTATGTGCGTAAGGTGTATATTGGGGAACTCACTAAGCTTCGTGCTTACAGTGTTTTATGTTATGTTGTTTCAGGTTCTTTCAGTAACACGGGATGGCACCGGATCGATTGTACACACCAAAGAAAGAGTTGTACTTGGAGGATCCTGGTTTTCTATTCAAGTGAAAATGGAACTATGTTTTGTAATTCAATTATGAATGAGATTTTAAACAAGCGTTTTAGTATTAAATTGATTATTTAAATGAAAATTTTGCCTTGAAAATCACGGTGTTACAAATTGGTATCAGAGCCTTGGTTTGAGGGATTCGGACGCACCTTCGGGTAAATCTGGACTCAAACTGAGGAAGTAAGAAAAAGTTTTCAAATAAATAGTTTTCTAAAAGTGAATAAGAGTTCAAAGAGAAAGCAAGAAGGAGCAGTGTGTACAATCAGCCAGAGCCAAACGATGATTTCCCAAAATACCCTTACTTTTGTGTTATGAAATATCTATTATGCACTTTATGAGATATTATTGCATGCTAGAGACAGGCTAGGTATTTCATATCTTAGGACTAGAATGGCCTAATTTGTGATGCCTTAGCCTAGGGTTTGTTGTTATATGTGCGTTATGCTTTTGAGTATGTGATGAGTGAGAGTATCCAATTAGAACGCACGAGGGGTAGAGCTACAGAGTTCAGTGGTACTTCCGAGGATGAGCCGAGAAGGTGGAGCTATCACAGATAGGGAGTCCTATGTATTCTTTGATGCTCGAATGCTGCTTGCTTTGTGCTTTGTAGAACTCTCGATGATGGGAGTCAGCTACTAAGTGAGTATGACGATATTCAGGAGGTAGATGGCTGGCATCATTAGGATCTCTTCAGCAGCTGATAGCAAAGAAGTGGGAGGACGACAGAAGGGGCTAGGGAGTAAACCTAGCCAGATGAGTACGCTGGTAGAGTAGAGGATTTCGCTGGGGAGCGAGCACGCGCGATGGGGTTGGTGAAAGAGCAGGTCGAGCAGCTACTTAGGAGCTCTGGGATGGTCCGTGTGGAAAGTATTTGGTAGATGTGGCAGGTAGTATGGGCCCGTACTACTGAAAGCAGAGGACCCATACTTGATACAGGGAGCATTCTGAAGGTCCTAAAGAACGGCTTGAGGAGTGATGTTATGGTTCGAGTACCATACATCGAGACGGATTGAGGAGTGATGTTATGGATCGAGTACCATACATCGGAGCAGATTGAGGAGTGATGTTATGGTTCGAGCACCATACATCGGAGCCGACTGAGGAGTAATGCTATGGTTCAGGTACCATACACCGGAGCAGATTGAGAAGGGATGTCATGGGATGAGCACTATAGTTTGTAGTGAATGACGCTTGTGATTATCTTATTATCTGGTCATGATCGATGAGGTAGAGATTGGACACTATGGGTTTTCGGCCTGTAGACCCTGATTGAGTATGGAGAGGCGTTCCTCGAGAGGAAGGGCGAGGGCCTATCAGAGTATTGTGGTAAGGAGTTAAAGGGAGAGGAAAATTTCGGTCTGAGTCGAGCAATCAGTCGATAGAGGAGAGGTCACCTTCTAGGTGGGTAGTGCCATTTATGTTCGTGTGCAAGACACGAGAGGCCTGATGTTTCAGTTTTGGATTTGGGAGTACACCCTGCAGGTCGTTATCGATAATGATTTCCCTCAGAGTATCAGGTAGCAGGTGTGCCGCGAGGCAGTGACTTATCGTGAGCAGACAGTCAGTTGGGACTGAGGTAGTTGAGAACCACACCACACCTAATTGAGAATAGTAGGTTGTGTTATTGTGGTAGCAGTGGGGAGTTCAGTCGAGTTTTGCAGTGCAGAGAGTTTTCGTTTATGTTGGGAGTGGGTCCCTGTCCTTGGGACAATTCCGGTGTTGGAACATGGGTTGATGAGTTGAGGTGAGAGGAACGATGATTTTGCGGTGCAGTCTATGAGCCAGGGATGTTATTGAGCAGTTGAGATGCTTAGTGTTAGATTGGTATGGGATTTGGAACGATCAGAGGCAGTCGTGATGAGAAGTTCTTGGAGAGTTAATCAGAGGTTCAGTGTATAGAGGGTTGATTGACTTCCTTAAGGGGGGAATTATCGGGCATGCGTAGCACTTCCTCGGAGCAGGTGCGATTTCGCTGGTGAAAAATAGTCGTGGGTTGGTTGAGTGCTAATTGGTGATGGTTCGAACCCTAAGTGGGGGAGAACCGGGTGCAGTATGTAGGAAGGCAAAGATTTGTCAAGAGTGGTTATAAGTGAAGTATAGAGATATGTTGTAAGAAATCATGAGACCAGAGGTGTCGGTGATCGAGGAAAAGGGTCAGAGTGAGTTAATGCGGGAAGTACTTGAGGAGGAGAACGAATGTATCCATGACAGGTGTTTAGTGTCGTTGCAAGTAGATAGAGAATGATTGGGTCGGTATGCGCATCCTTGTTTGGATTTTGAGTGTCGGGAAAAAAGGATTCGAAGAATTATCAGCATATTTCGTAACGTCAGCGTTTTCTCGTATTCCAATCGAGAAATTAGATGCACCGAAGTTGTAAAGTGGGAAAAAATATAGATTTAATTATGGGGTTCAGAAGGAATGTATTTTGTGTCTACATGATGCTTGGGGCAGGAGATCGGTGGTGGTGGCAGTATTCTGGGATATTCGGGTATGATATCCTTATTTTGGAGTTATTCGGGAATCCTGAATTGAATCAACGTGTGGCATATCAAGTATCTACGGATCTAGGGGGAGTCTTCGAGTATGGGCATCCAGGGAGATTATTTGAGAGAGTGGATTTTCGCAAGATGGTAGTTTGTTATGTTGATTGCCTCCATAGTCTGTGGTGGATATTCGAGTCGCAGTACTCACTATTCAGAAGGTGTTGTGATACTGCGTGGAGTCGCAGTACTCACTAGATGGCAAGAG